CTTATTTCGTCCCTTAACCTCAAATTCCCTTGTGAGTGTGATTCTTGAGCTTAGAAGTGTGTTGGTGGCCATTTTAGAGTATATTCAAGAAGGAGAAGGTGGTGATCAAGCTTTGGGTGTCATTGAGCTTCTAGTTCCTACATCTAGTTCAACTTGAAGAGCTTCTGATGTATAAAGTCATGACCTTGTCAGCTTTTTTGATTGTTTGATCTAGGGTTTGTTATGGAGTCCCTTCTTGGCTTTTGGACCTTCTCTTGTGATTTGAGCAACTCCATGGATTAGGATTGTTAGATCCAAGCTCTTTAAGCATGTTTGATGCATAAAGGTGCCATATTGGAGGTTGTTTTGATCCAATCCATAAGTTAAAGGTCTGAAATGAGGTCTCATTGAGAAGCAGGATGTATAGGGGTCACTCATAACATGTAAGGGCATAAAGTTGCCAACTTTATGCCTTAGGACATCTTAATGGACTCCGATCTAAAGTTTGACGTTGAAATCCCAAGTATTAAGTACTTAATGGTCGATTGTGCATGTCTAGATTGTACGCCATGCGTAGCATCGTATACACAACACGTACTGCGTAAGGGACTAGTACGTTGAGCGTACTGGAGTGGTATGCAGGGTGTACACACTCAGATGGGTTTGGGCCTTGTTTTGGGTTTGTAAGCTTGTTGGCTTTATTCAATTTTGGGTATGGTCCTATTTAGATTTTTGGACTGATATTGTGTTTTGGGTCATAATTGTTTTGGTTGGGCCTTATTGGGCCGTGAGACCCATTAATGAATTTATCTTGGACCTTGGGCACATTAGCAAAAGGAATACTTTTAGGTCATTATGGAAGAGCTTAGACTTAACTATTTAGTCTCTTTGATTAGGTTGTGTGCTATAATACTAATTTAAGGTTAACTGTATCATTATTCAGTGTGTGGTTACAGACTGTTAGACGAGAAGATTTTGTGTTTAGCAGACTGAGGTGAGTGTTCTCATCACACTCATAGGTCGAAGGCACAAAGGCCGACCCATTAATGGTTATGAGATGATTTTTATTGGGATATGTAATTGTTTGCTATTGGATTTATATGTTGAATTGTGTGTAGACCATGGGGAGCCCATGACATTTGACAAGACCATGGTAGGAGCCCATGGCGCAGGGATATAAGACCATGGAGGTAGCTCATGGCATTTTGATGAAGACCATGGAGGTAGTCAATAACAAACTTATATGTGTATATGTGTGAAATGTATTATGTGATTATATGATTGTGTGTTTTGGAAAACTCAATAATCTTGGGCTTACAATTTTATTAAATGTTTCAGGTACTTCTATTGATAAGGTCAAGGGCCCGACTTGATGACACGACATGCATTCTCCAGTGTTTTCATATTCAACTTTAATACTCTGAACTTTAAAATAATAAGGTTATGTAATGGGATTTTTGAACACCTTCTGGTTGATATTAATGAAATTAAAACTTAATTATTATTATTATTTTTTTTGTAAAAATTGGGTTGTTACAAGTTGGTATCATAGCCTTGGTTTGAGGGATTCGAGCACACTTTTGGGTGTGTCAAAACTTAAACTGAGGAAATGGTAACAAATTAATTTTCGAAAAGAAATCAAAGTTGAAATATCTGCAAAAGATTTTGTAAGGAAAAAGGGGAGAATGCAATGCGCGTAATCATCCGAGCTCAAGTAAGTGTTCCAAATGTTTTAGCCATGCTATAGTATACATGGAAGTTAAAGTTGCATGAATTGTTTGCTAAGTGTATGCTTTCAAAATTGTACATGCTTAGGATTGCATTGCCCTCGAAATGAGGGAATATGCCTTATTCCTTTTCCTTGTTTGGTTGTGGTTTAGGGTAGAAGCTTTATTTGACAGTCTATGTGATTCTCTTTTGTGTATAACTTGCATGCATAGGGTAACCTGCTATGATTAATCTGAGTTTCTGGTTTAGTGAGGGTTGAGAATCCTACAACACTCTAGGATCTGATATAGTGTTGTGTTTAAGAGTCATGATTTGTTATTGGATGATTTAGGGGTATCAAACATGGCCTTGGGGAAGGTACAGGTAGGTGTGAAAAGCAGTATTGGGCCCGTACTACTAAAAGCACATAACCTGTACCTGAATCAATGAAAGATCTGATAGTTCTTAAGAGTCCGATGAAGAGGAATCTCTTTAGAAGTCCTTATCTTTTTTAATTGTGACATTTTCAGTTGAGGATGGTGATGATCACACGAGGTTCAGGATCAGGATAATGTTCAGTGTCTGGTGCATAGCCCATTGATGAGAGGAAGTGCGATCTTATCGCATCCGAGGTTACTTGTGGCATCCTTGATGCTACCCTGGTGATTTTTGGTATCGTCATGGAGGGCATTATGGAGATCATGGAGGAGCGGCTCAGGTCTTTCCGAGCCGAGATTGCTGTAGGGCGGATTAGGGCTCGATCTCCCTCGTTTAGGGAGTTTAACGCGTGTGAAGCGCCTGATTTCTTCGGGGTCAGGGATCCCGTCACTAGCCGATGCTGGGTAGCAGACATGGAGAATTCCCAGCGCACAAGCTTTTCCCCTGAGGCGGAAAATGTGTGGTTTACATCTTGTGTGTTGAGGGATTGAGCACGAGATTTGTGGGAGGGGGTGACCCATGAGGTAGGATCCGCGGGTGTGGCTGAGATGTCTTGGGAGGAGTTTGTGAGGAGGTTTGATCAGGAGTTTTGTAACGTCCCAAAATTTTCATAAAATTTAAACTTTCCAAAGCAACCCTTTTTTAAATAGAAGTGTTACAAAAACCTTTGTTCCCAAAACATTATTTAAAAATCAGGATCTCTTTCAACATAATTTTCAAAACTTTCACATTATCATAGTTTCCCAGAAGTCATCAGTTCAAAACGTGAGGATGTGTACGGTCACGCCTGCACATTGCCACGATCCACTGAAGTACCTGAAACCATAAACCAAAACTGTAAGCACGAGGCTTAGTGAGATCCTCCAAAGTACCAACACCCAAACATATAGCATATACAAATAAAAACATACTATGGGTCCAATAAACCATCAGGTTGGGATACCCTAGACCCTTAACCATCAGGTTGGAATGCCAACATACTATGGGTCCAATTAACCATCGAGTCGGAATACCCCAGGCCCTTAACCATCACGTTGGAATGCCAACATACTGTGGGTCCAATCAACCATCGAGTTGGAATACCCTAGGCCCTCAACCATCAGGTTGGAATGCCAACATACTATGGGTCCAACAACCATCAGGATGGAATACCTTAGGCCCTCAACCATCGGGTTGGAATGCACTGGCCTGTTGGCCTACGTACAATGCAAAAAAGCCTCAACCACCAATCAAATATGTGCACATATAACATATAATCATATAATAGTTTATATGCATTCAAACATATCTAACAGACCACTAAGCATAACATCATCTTATATACCAGGATACCGATCAAACAAATCATAACATCATAACAACATCCTATCTACCAAGATAGCGATCTAACAGATCATAACAACATAGCAACATGCATAACAGAATATCAATCCGCTAGGCCGACATTTGTGCCTTCGTCCCATAATGCAACTTTTCTAATCTTAATTAAGAGCTTGTTTGATAAGACAATAAAAATTTAGGGTTAATTGAAAAGCTTGTTTCGGTAAACTAAATAAGGTAAAAGAGATTATACTAGAGCTTGTTAGTTTTTCTTAGTACCAACATAGATAGAACGCATATCAAATAACCAGGTCAATATTTATTGCATAATTAGGAAAGTCACAGCAGAGCTGAAATCGTTTTTAATATTGATTTTCATTTAGTTTAATATCACTGCGTTTTTAGTTTTTAGTTTTAATTAAAACCCCCTTTTTATATTTTCTGTTTCTTGACTAGATTGTGCCTGATGCAAAAAGACATTGACCATTAGGCTGTGTCCCTGAGGATTCGACCATGCTTCCCTGTGCTATATTTTTAGTGCAACCAATAGTGATAATTTATTTACTTAATACGCGCGCGACAACGTGTTAACATTCCTCCATCAATCGGCATAGATCAAGAAAAACCCAAGTCAACTTGCCGAGTTTACCCACCAACTCATCGAGTTCCTTTATTCATCTGAAAATATCGGGGAAAGTCGAGCCAACTCATCGAGTTTATCCATAAACTCACCGAGTTCGCTCAAAATCCAACAACTCAATTCATTAAGCACCCAATCCATAAAGGCATGGCCACAAGGAGCTCTCAAAGATTTATTTGGTGAAAGTTCAGCAACTTAATTCATTTAACACAACATAAATGAAAAAAAAATCTCTAACATTTTTTTTTTCATGTTGGTGAAAGTTCTCAGACTGGTTAATTCAAGATTATGAAAGTAAACAAGGAGCTGTCAAAGCTTTATTTGCATATTCAAATTGATGAACTCATTTTCAAATGTTGAATTTTTTTTTTTTTGAATTCTTGGTTGCAAGTAAAACAAAAGATGAAAAACAAAGGACTTGTAGTGCAAATATTCCACTATGTATGTAATAATGTCGAAGATGTACAATGACAATGATAATGATAATATAGTGTGTGTTCGAAATATTCGAAATATATGATATAAGTCCATGTTAGTCTAGAATGTATGATTTCATATTCTAGAATACATTTAGTCAATTGCTATCAATCATCCAATAACTGTAATAACTTTGAAGTGAACTCCGATTTTCAAAACCAAAAAAGGGTTAATTTTGTGAATGATTTCCTTTATTAAGGGTTAGGTTTGTTAATATCGCATTTAACTACGTAGATATCCTCTTAACAGTTAGCACAACACCCTGCCCTCACGCGCCTTGCGGAGCGTTGGATCGGGTACTCGGACGACTCATCGTCAAGAAGTCGTTAAATAATCGAATTCCTCTTGTATTTTCCCTTTTCCTCTCTCCGGGTGTTCTACATCGACGGGCCGGCGGCACTGTCAAGAACCCTAGTTCCCTAAATCCCCCATGCTTTCTTTAATTCACATGTAACACACCACTAAAATTTCAAATCATTTTGTGTATATATAACATACAGCTGGTGGTGTTTGGGGGATTTTTGCAAAAAAAAAAAAAAAAAAAAAGTTAAACCTAACAATGCTCGAAACCCCTGCCGATTCATCATCTACGGCCAACATTGCCAACATTAAACGCTATGCTCCTCCTAATCAAAGGTATGTGTTTTCTCCCTGTTTACATTGATTTGGTTGATTTTGACCTAAACGGCGTTATTTGTTTCACTTGCTTATATTTAGGAATCGATCCCTTGGAAGGAGAAAGTCTGGAGGAGGTAAACGTCTTTTGCTTAGCATTTAACTTCTTTATTATCGTTAAATCGTGATAGGAGAAGCTGAATTCACTTGCGTAAACAGATATTAGGGTTTTGGGATATGTAGTTTTCCTTTCTAATAGTTTTTTCCCAGCTCAGTTGTTCTTTGTGTAGCAAGTATGCTTCTTTTGATTTGTAGATAGTCGTCAACTTATCTTTTGATGTCCATGTCCCACGAATCCATGATCTGAGGTTTATCGTAGCCTTAAAAGTTAAAAGATAGGAAGAACACCTGAATCATCCTCATATTCTAGATCGGAGGAATGGAAATCAGCAAATTCTCTTTCTTATTAATGGAATACATTGCATTTGGTTATAACTATAGTAAGTATTGGAAACTAGTGTGAGAAAATGCAGCAAATATGTCAGATTCATTGAGATCAATTGTATCAATCACTATATCAGATTCAGATTTTGTGTAAGACTCTTATATAACTTTCATTTGGGTGATTTTGATTATATGCAGATAGATTGGAAAAGACAAGTAGTTATGGGAATGATGGGGATAGAAATCAAAGAAATGTTCCTATTTTGGATCATGCTGATCCACCACGCTTAATTGGGTTGCAAGGATGCTGTAGCAGTGAAGCTTATCAACTCCTCAACAACCGTATGTACTTCCTTAATTACTTTATTCATTGAATTGAAGCCAAGTCTACCCTTTAAATATTGACAATAATTCTCTCTCATTATTGCAGGTTGGGCAGCTGCTATCAATGCATATGAAAATCCCTCAACTGATTTAGCCGGTGAGTAAAGGACTCAGCTTTCATCATTCATGAATGAACAATTTAAGGACAAACCCTTAAAAAATTTAGTTGCAAAGTGAGGTCTTTTTTTTTCTTTCCCATTTTGCAATTTTGTGAAAAGAAAAAGTATCTTGCAAAAAAGCATAAACAGATAGAAACAAACTTATTTATTTATGTATATTTTTTTTGTTTTGTAGAGCGACCGGTTATGTATTCAGGAAGCAGTGCATCAGCATGGGGACAATTTCGACTTCCTCATCAGGTTATATATAAAATAAAATAATACAACAAATGTTTTCATTCATCTTCTCTCGCTCTCTAACCTAAAACATTTTTGTTGTATTTTTTATTTTATTTCAGATGATTTCCCAGACAGGTAGAGTTGGAGTTGGAGCTTCAGGGAGTCAGATTGATTTCTTAGGTGAACTCAGGCAAGCAATGCGAAGCCATAACTCAAACACCCATTTCTGAGTTCTGACAAGTAAACACAGTCAGAGCTTTTGGTTGTTTGGACCATAATATCTTTCAGTTGCTGTTGTATGTGTTGTTAACTTGAATTTCTGTTGGATTCGATCCCAAAGACGGATCATTTGTACTCTAGATTTTAATGCAATTGGATGATGATACTTTTTTAGTTATTTTAGTTATATACAAGTAGTAAAAAATAAAGATCCAAGTGAATGAATGCTATTATAAACGTTGTGTTTACAGCATCAAGATCCGAAAAACTTGTACATTATCATGTATATGGTTGCTGTTGAGTGTGACCGCTTAGAAACATGATCTTAATCCGTCCAGACGGGAATTATTCCTTGAGCAGCTAAACGCTTTTCAACCCAGAAAACAAGAAGTTTTGATGTCACTTTTTTCTCATCCACCAGAAAAGGTTCCACATTGCTTGCAGTTGACCCGTATGATGATATTGAAAACCCTTTTGGACCTGTTAATAATCAAATGGTGTTCTTGAGTTTGCTTTTTTAATGAATGAGGTTTGGGGAGGAAGAAGAACTGACCTGTGATGTTACCATCTGGGAATAAAGCCCAGAATGAATATGGTATACCCTTCTTCATAAAGGACCCTTCTAGCTGCTTGCATAAGGGAACACACATTACATGCATCTTAATAACTTGTTATTAGACTCAAATCAAGATTACGCGGTAATTTTTAACCTCTCCAATTTATATATTTCAAATTTTGATTTACACTAGCAGTACATACGTTTTTCAGTAAGATGATGATGATGAAGATGAAATGGGAGGAGTGGGACTAACCTTGTTGTCTTCAAAAAACAATTCAAGTTCGGATATATCTTGTTGAGTTTCAAGAATCGATCTTAGGGAAGGAATCACGTCCTCTTTCATCATCTCCGGTAACGCCTTAACAGGGGCTTTTGCCGGAGCCTTTGGCTTCGCCGGAGCAGCAGCCGCTTTGGATTCTCCCTCTTTATCCTCTTTAGTTTCGGCAGCAACTAAAAGATGCAAACAGCAATTTTATTTTATTCGAGATGATTACCATTACCGAAACCAACCAAAGGATAAAGCATAAACCGAAATACGGGCATCCCTAACAATATGTGCAAATTCAGAAACTAAACCGTAATTGTCTGACACTGCTGAGAATACCAGTAGAAGCGGCGGATGACTCTTGGACTGCGTAGCAAACGGCGTTCCTAGACGAAATGACAAATTTAGCTGCAATCTGTTCATGGACACCAAAATCCGATCAACAATTCACCATCAGCAATAAACTACTCTCGGTGTGTGTGCGTGAGTGATTATCAGATATGGATTAGTCACAGCAATGGTACCAGAGGGAAGGAAGAGGAACTGGGTTTAGGATCTCGACAACAGTGTGGAGAAGATGGAAAATGCAAATTCAAATTCGACAACGTAATTAATCCTCCGGTGGTTGCTATTTTAAGCGATGGTGATGATGATGATACATACTGCTTCATCATCGTCTTTGTATGATCTTGAAGCACAAACCTGTTTTCCCCGAACCAAAAATGTTAGGGTTTGAATTGTGGAGAGAGGGGGAGAAGAGAATGAGGTGCATAGAGAACTGGGGAGTGGGGGGTAAGTTTGTTAATGTCGTCCACAAACTGCTCTGGAGGATTTGGTACCACTGGGTTAAATTTAGGACCCCTTTGTTTGTATATGGAGAATCAGAAGACGATAACTAATTTCTTTGCTGGTTGTTAATTTACGTTTTAACTCGGGTTGAACCAGTTGAAAGTTGTACTAGGTGTGACTCAATGTTATCTTTGAAAACGAAATATTGTCATTTATAACGTAACGAATAAAGAAATGCCACAGATTAATCAAACTCGATTACTTTCTAAAAAAAAATCAATTGAGGGACCAAATTCCTTTTACATTAGAGATTAGGTGTGAGATCCATGTATTACATGAGTTTAATTAAAAAATATATATATAAATTTTAATTATTTGAAAAGTTTGAATTTATAAGAAAAATGAGAAAATTTTGAATTATTAAAATATGGAATTTTAATATAATAAAATAAAAAATACAATAAAATGAAAAGTGGAAAATAAAAATTTTAAAAATTCTAGAAAATACCATGTATCCAAATGAATGAGAAGAGAACATGTGGTAAAAAAACTTTCATTTATTATAGTAGATTTGTATTAACAATCCAAAAAAAAGAAAAGAGTAAATTACACGAATGGTCCCTATGGTTTGGGGTAATTTGCGTGATTGGTCCCTAACTTATTTTTTTAACTCGGAAGGTCCCTGTTGTTTGTTTTTGTTACGCGTTTGGTCCCTACTGTTTATTTTTGTTACGTGCTTGGTCCCTATCTTAGCTAAAAATACTATTATTTGAATAGGAAAAAATGTTAGGGTAGATAAGGTAAGGTGAATGGGTGAGGTTAGAGTTGTGTTTATTTAAATAAATTTAAAAAATCAAAGGCAAAATAGTCTTTTTAGGTAAGACAGGGACCAACCGCGTAACAAAAACAAACAATAGGGACCTTCCGAGTTAAAAAAATAAGTTAGGGACCAAACGCGCAAATTACACTAAACCATAGGGACCATTCGTGTAATTTACTCAAAAGAAAAAGATCGAGTAACAATCTAATAATTTTTTGTTTTTTACTATGTTTTGTCTATCTAAAGATAATATTGTTCCGAAATGTCTAAATAACCTAAAGGACCGTGATGAAACTTCATCAAAACAATCAAAACAATTGCCTTGATTCACATTAAATTTGGTTCCTTTTAACCACCAAATTTGCGGTTTTTCACATTATTTTGCATAGTCACTCTTGGTGATTTTAGTGTCACCATGTCATTTTAAGTAATTGGAACTAACATGTGAGCTAAGGGGTTTCATGATTTGTACTCTAATACATGTACGGGTTTGTGCGGAGTGCACGCATGTATAAGATCGAGTCAGAAGCTGGTTCGACGACTAGTCGGGGATCCGGGGGTAGCGCCCCCGGGTCCGGGGTTTCCAAAGGGGTAGCACCCCTTTGGCGGGGTCTAGGGGCAGCGCCCCTAGCGGGGTCTAAGGGGTAGAGCCCCTGGCTGGGGTCCCAAAACCTCACCGAATTTTGCATGTGGGAACATAATGGAAAATTCAATTTCTTGAGGGTGATTATGGTAAATCTAACGAAATTCGTTAGTTTTTGGTAACCCTAATCCGGATTAATATTACTTGCTTCCTAAGCAAGTAATGACGGTACAACCCTAATGAAACCCTAATTGTGTTTAGTATATAAACAACTCTTCGTTTTCAGAAGAGGCACGGTTTTTAGCTCTCGTTTTTCATCACACATTAACAGAACCTTTTAGCATAATAGCTTACGTTTTTTGTGCCTAGAAACGTAGGTGTCCGCTTGGATTATCCTAGGCTGAATTTCTTGTAACCCAGACATAGGGTATAAATATCAGTTCGGAAAGTGATATCACGATCCAAACTGGTATCCAGATCTCCACCGTAAACCCTAATATTCCCAACAGTCACACCAAGAGCTACAAAACGAATAGACTTACCCATATTACAATTTAGAGGAAGATGACACAAGCTCTCGTTGTGGGTGTTACAAAAGGGATAAAGCACAAAATCAACATCAAACCCTTCGTCCACCAAATTGGTTGTAGTGGGCGCGATCTAAACTCACCCTCCAAGTCACAATACTAAGCTTAAGGAGAATAAAACTATTCCAAGATGCCAAATAACAGGAAAATCCACATGTTTATTTGATTCAGAATGTCAAACAATTGCAACAAATACTAACAATTGATTTCTACAAGCTAAAACTTGATTACTTATATCAAACATTTCAAGATGCCAATATAAAATCGTATATTATTGTTGTGTCAATGTTTACTTTACACTTAATCTTTTTCTCATTAGGCATCATATATTGATGATTATATCTGAATAGGTACACATTTCATTCTATATTCTTTTCCAAGGTTTTAACATCTATGATATCACACATTGAACCGACACGGTTCTCTAACATTTTATATATGTTAAGAGCATCCATTCTCTTTAAGGACTCTTTTAAAGAGTAAACTAAAATCTCCACATATATCTTATAATTAGAACATGTATTATCAGGTTTATCATTAAAATTCAAATTCTTACATCAATCATATGCTTTGTCCATTCCCTAATTATAGATAATATAGTTTCGTTTCATATTCAATTTGACAACTAATACTATCATTGATAATTTATATATCTGATTGATGACATTTGTTCCATAATTAGCATCACTAAAACTTATAATGACCTCACATGTTCACCAATTAATCATTATTGGATTAACGGGTCAAAGTTAAAATCATGATCTTGATGTGCAGATATGATTTCGTGTCAAACCATGATCAAGAGATAAAATCATCCTATAGGTTAATCTTGATGAACTCTAGAGCTCAAAGAGCTCATGAGTTGGTTTGGGAGGCAAATGTGAAGTTAAAATCTTCATGTATTCGTAGATCGTTGTGGATCTCTAGCAATATGAATTCCTTCTAGCTCCACACCACCACCTCCTCCTCCTCCTCCTCCACCACCACCACCGCCGCCAGGGCCATCTTGGGCAGAGTTGTTGGTTGTGGCGTTTAGAGCTTTATTTCTCTTGGCTTTGTGAGCCCAACTAATAAGACCTACTTGTACATGCTCTTCAAATATCGACTTCTTGAAACTACTTCCCATCTGCGTCATAGTATCATGCGTTTAACATCATCTCTTTGTAAAGTGGGAATTAAAAACAACAAATTAAAGACGAAATAAATTACCTGTGTTACCAGCGCATAAAGTGGTAGAGTACTGTAACTGCACAAAACTTGAATAAAAACCCTAAACGAAACAAAAAACAAATTAATGAATTTTAATCATTACCACATTTTGAATCCCAAACAATGTTTAAATTTATTTACCCAATGATGAGTCTGGGGATAATGTAAATCAATTTTTCCATTATGCACGAGTCGAATCCAAATTGAATCTGTCGATAAAGAAACGGAAACAATTGATGTCAATTTCTTTTTTATTTATTAGGTATTGATACTTGATAGGAGCGTTTAATTTGACATAGATAAACTTACCAATATCCAGAAGAAGAAGGCAATCTCAAAGGCATTTTGGAAGAGAATAAAATGTATGAAGAGAAGGACGAGTTTTGGGCGATGAAACCAAAAATGGTCATCTGAAGGTTTTACTGCCAGTTCGCCTTCTATGGCTATATGCCTCTCCGCAACTTCATGAGCCAATTGAATGATTATGTGTTCAAGCTTCGATCCCACCGAAAGTAGCAACTGAAGAAAATAATAATAATAATAATAGTAATAAACAATTGAATTTTATTTCATCACAGTATTTAAGTAGAAGATTTTAATAGATCAACATATTGGATTTATTTCACAACTTACGATTAATGGAACAAAAGCTATCCAAAAATACGTATGCCAACCTGCACGAAACCAAGAAACAATAATTATTTTTGTCCCCCGAAAGTTCAAAAGAACAGTGAAACTAGATAAATAAAACGTAAAATGGTAAAAGTGTTGCATACCATTGACATTCAGTAACATGAATATGATCACGAATATCCACAAATACCAACTACAACGTACCAATAAAACCATAAATTAGATTTAGCAGTTAGCACAGCATACTCCATCAATGAGCTATGAAAATGAATCATAATTATTAATTAAATTACTTTTTTCTTTGGCTTGAATTTGACAGCACTTAATTACCTGATGCCTACAACTTTCCTAAAATCATCTTCAAGTGCACGTATCATGTACTTGTGAAAATTAAAATTTCGGCTTCCCTTGCAATGTGTCTGCCATGCCCATGCATATATAAAACCAAGATCATGATCATATGATCATTAGCATGCATTTACTAGATTTTTAAAAAGAATAATAAATACATACCATAATAAAACCGGATCGAAGAACTACATAATCTGGCCTCGTCACTGATCCATAGAATTGCTTGAAGAAAGAATGCTTCAAATTTGATCATTAATTAATTAGGATAACATAATTAATAAGATGTTTTGAAGAACAAATTAAATTGGGAAAAAAGATAATTAAGATAATACCTTACCAGCCAACCTAAAAGAGCTGAACGTTTGCCAAAACCCAAGAACCGTTTCCTGATGAAATCATGATTTCTAACGTCTGTGATCGTCGGTTCTTGAACTGCATGTAAATCATCACAGTTTAGATTCATAAAATGAAATGGAAGTATAAAAATTAGAGAGATCATGAAATCCATAGCAGCTATATATATTGTGATCGATCGATATAACCTGAATCACCTTGTGTAGTGTTGAGATTTTCTTCTCTGACAGATGTTTCCCATTGCTTCCATTGGCGTATCTATTAGTTAATACATTATTACAAAAGATACACTAATCAATCAAGTGAAAGAAAACAGTTTCCAGAAGACAATATTTACTAACCTTAAACCCTCCAAATACAGCAGTGAGAACAGAAAACGTCACATGTACAACTGCTAGTATGAAAATAAAGATGTGTAGATGATGCAGAGCCTCGCCTGATAACAATGGCACCTTATTCTGTAATTGGAGAATGAAGAGTGTAAATATTTGTACTATTTATTTATTGGATAAATTAAGCTTTTCATTGTTGAACATAAAAGCTAGATTGATTTGATTACCCTCTGAGCACAATAACCCATTGAAGTTTTTTTATCTCCGAGCAATTGGCGAATAGTAGATGAGTTTTTTGACTTGGGATCAATCATCTTTTCTTTTGCTTTTAACGGACAAGGAAGAAAGTGTTCCATGGTAGTCTCGTTCACACAGATCTTAACAATCCTATCTTGACAAACAGACAATAGTAGTGAAATAAACCCTAACAGCATCAATTCTGCATCAACAAAACAATAAAACTGATAGAGCTCAACGCCTAGTTATGCCAGATTAGTGCACACCATTGAAGAACATGCATAAATTTTAATGGAGATTGAGTCTATAATTTGACTTTCCAAAAGAAGAATACCTTCCTTGACTTTTTGCAGAGCTTCAAACAGTGGCTTGCGCCCCTCCTTTTTCAATTTCTACACAAATCAGAGAAGAAACTAAACTTTACACAAATTTGAATAAAGAGAAACTATGTCAATTGAAAGTTTAAGACCCACCTTGCCGGCGTAGTGCAGTAGCCGTTCGACGAAGAGGGAAACGCTGACGAAGACAGTACAGACGGCGGCTACAACCCATGTAGGTGTAAACTCCAACGACGTCCCTTCTCCTCCATCACCCGCCATGATTTAGATCAATCTACACTGTAATTACAGATTTAAATACGATTGGAACTGTTTATTTTCTAATCGATGCGTCATTTTCGGTTGAGTTTAACAAAAGAGTGCAGAGATCATCGCGGTTAAGGTGAAAATCGTAGACTGACTTTCGATCGATACGCGGAATGAAAAGTTAACTGAAACGATATGTTAACGTCGTTTATAGTGTAATGAGAAGATGAACAGATCATGGTAGGAGATGCTAGGAAATAGGAATTTAAATGCATGCGAATAATGATCGACCGGCATGGAAACGGCTAAATATTCCGGCGATACATCGGCGTTCGAAATTAAAACATGTCGTTCAGTTTTGTCGCAATCGTTACGAAGCATGTTTGTATCAGGAAACCGAATGTAACCGTTTTCCTTACAAACACATTTTTATAGAATTATTTTTCATATGAATGTGTAAGAAATAACCACCGGTACACAACTATAATAATCATTATCGATTGTAATTATTTAGAAATTAATATAGAAAAAATAACCAAAATCAATATTTTTATATATTGTTATGTTTATTTTTGAATACCAAAGGTTGTCTTCAATCAATGATAGTAACTCTTTTCCTTTTACATACTTGTTAAATACTCGCCAAAAGTACAAGATTATAAAATAGACAATGAAACTAGAAAGATAAAATAAAAAATTTTAAAAGTTCAATACTAAGTTATATTGAAGTATAATTGTCAATGTAAGATAATATTATACTTTAATAAATGAGATTTAAATGATTTCGTAATTTTATTTTGTTTTTTGTTTTTTAAAAAAAGATGGTTAAAATGATTATATGATACTATATATGATCTAAAAAAAAGTTATTATCTTTTAATGAAAGGAAAAAAACTATACATCATATAAATCTAAAAAATAATTAGTTACATCAACAACTTTTTTTATATGGTTTGCATAGAATTATGTCTTTCAAATGTAGCAATAGATTAATATTTCAAATACTTAAGTTGTAAGTTTGGAATTAACGGCTCAAAATATATAAACTTTTTTTTTTTTTTTTTTTTTTTTTTTTTTTTTTTTTTTTTGCTTAATGTGGCCAAAATTTGTAAAATATATAAAAGGTAATGATTAAAAAATTCAAAGTTTAAATCCTGATTTATGGGTCGTTTGATAGTTGCTAACTGGGTTAGATCTGACTGAGTTTGAAGCTGACTGGGTTAGAAGTTCTGACTGAGTTAACTTCTGACTGAAACTTGCTGTTTGATTTTACTTCTGACTGACCGTACAAAATAACTATATTACCCTAAAACAATATTTTTTTGTAATAATTCCTTTATGATTTACCATTTTACATTTGGGATGACGTATTTTTATAATGAGCAAAACATTATCATATCTAAGTCCTAATTTGATTAGAATATACCAAGATAAAACAAATACATTCATAAGAGCAAACACCTTCAAAGTTTCAAGTTCTATGAATAAAAAACAAACCTTAATGCAATCTCATAAAAAACAAAAAATTAAATAACACAACCGAGTTCCTACATCTTCACGTTTAACTTGACAAATTATAGATATAGTTTTACTAATTACACATTGTAGAGACTATCCTTACAACAAGATCAATCATTATTATCAAAATCACGAGAAACTCTAGCATACAAACATCAAACTGTTGTAGATGCTACATCTTTCAAATCATTTGGATTCATGTGAAGATCCTTCAAATTAGTTGTAGGAGCTCCCATTGAAGAAGAATTTTTATCCCTTTAGAATCTGAGAAATACAAATACGTTTTAGAGGAACAAATTCCTTGCACAACAACAACAAATAATCATGAGCACAACAACAAAATAATGAACAAGAAAATCGCGTAAAGCAAGATCAAGGCAAGAAAATCAAATCAACTACTACTCCTAGAGCATCAAGATGTTCATCAGAACTAACAATACTACATTGTCTGATAGGATCATAATCAATTTCTCCACATTACTAGTTGGATCCCCTCAAATCCAACTCATAAGAAATCAATGATCTATGTTCTTGTTGTTGATTCAACATTAGAACATTAATTGATAAGAAACCAATAGCAAAACATCAAAAGCATAATTGAAATATTAAGCAACTTGAAGCAAGAAAATGATCCAGAACTCTAAAAAAAAAACCACGAGCTCTAGACCTCGAAAAAGCTTGTTGTTGGGGATTCAATCTAGAAAGCAGAAGGTGTTTGGCAATCCACATCCTTGCATAAATCTTTCTTGATGATCTTTGAAATCGAAATGATCAGGTAATAGAAGGAAAATCAAATTCGAAATCAGGTGCAAGATAAAAAAAATTGAAATCAGAGCATATCTACAACAGGGAAAACTGAAATCAGGTGCATGATGAACAAAAATTGAAATCAGAGCACATCAACAACAAGAATCAGAGCACATCAACAATAAGATAATCGGAACACAGAACAACAGCAATTTCACCTGTTGAAATCGATTTTGATTTTGTGAAATCGATCCAATCGATAGCTAACATCTTGTTGTTCAAAAAAAGAACTCACCTGAGCAAGACGACAATGTGGAGGAGGAATATGATGGCATCGGCGATAACGTTAGCGAAACAACGAATGGAGAGCATGAACGATGGTGGCTAGTCTCGTTTCAACGGTCGTTTTATGAAGAAGGGTAATAAAGGGCTACATTGTCTTAGGGAGAAGACGGTAAGGAGGAAGAAGTTGGCTTGCGATGTCGATCAAGCGCAAAGGGAAAAAGGGCAGATGATGAAGATGACCCAATCATGCGCTTTTTTTCCTTGGACCGAGTCAGAGGATTTAGGAGAGTTTTGGACCGAGTCATAGGTTAGATAGATGGCATCAAACATATAGACTCAGACCGGGTCAGCAAAAACTTCTGACTGGAGTAGGTCAGAAGTCAATCAAACCGCCCCTTAGCTTTTTAAATTCAAAATATGAATAGTGATATTATATTTTTTTTAAGTAGTAAATGTTAATAAAATTTTAAGGATGCAACATGATATCATTAGGATCATACTCTAGAATTGTGCCACTTGACATTTAGTCGATATATGAGTATATCTTAAGGATCGTCTATAATACCAGTAACTGTATTTTTGATAATATAAATATCAATATATTAGCTTTAAGAAAATTAAGGGGTAGTTAAAAAGACATGCTGGAAGCCAAAGATTTGTTACTGTATCCAAAATGCCATTTTACATAGGTAAACATTGTGAGGAAACAGACTACTTTATATGTTACACCATTTTTTTAATTATAATTTTGGTATATGGGTGGTTGTCGGTTGAAATCCAACGAATTGTGATGGAGACGATCTAATCCAGTTATCCATTGGATGTTGAATTTTGTCAATTGATCAAGTTCATTTCGTTATATACAACTGAATTGAAACAAGCCGATCTAATTGGATATGTTTTTCCATTGAATATATTTGATTGTTTATCTATTATACAATCAATTCTAATCAATTTTCTATCGAATAACCATCAAATATAATTATGCTAAATAAATGTTGAAAGTTCAACCAAAGTACGGTAAAAAGAAAAACGTTTAAAGTTTAAAATTCAATTGGATGGTAACTAGATATTAGTTGATGGTAATTGGAATTTATGGGATATCCAATGCATGAATGTTTGATGGTTTGCTTATCCATGAGATTTTAGGGTCCTCCAAGATTGATCAAATCTAATTTGAAACAATATAATTGGATTTTGAAAAATTAAAACTAATCCAATCCAATTGTGATTGGATATCTAATATAGTCGATCAGATTGTACTTTGATCGGTTGGTTAGAATTAGATCAATTAATTTCCATAGGCCCTTAAATTTGATCTATGTGTTAATTTTTTTGATGATGATCTCATCTTGTTTTCACAAAGTTGTCCACACTTTTTAAAAACTTGCCTGTTACATGTATGTAAAAATAATTATAAATTTGTTTTTTTTTTACATATTCATTTTTATACATGTTTTTAAAGATTGTTTTTACAACTTTTACATTTTTCACATAAATCTCGACTTTTTTTATTTTTTTTTATTTTAATATTCTCTTTTCTTTAATCATGTGTTCGAACTATCGAAATATAATAATGATTTTGATGTAACCCAAATTTACATTATACACAACGGTGTGTTTTAATAATTGTTATATCAATCTCTTTGCAGCAATGCATTTGTATGTTATATTGTTCATGTCAAGTACATAATATGCTGTTATTCTTATGGATAATAGGATGGAAATAGGACAACATTTTAAAAAGATGTCACACAAACTAGACCCTCGACTGAACGTTTTTCTTGAGGATGTATTAGAGAATATATGTTAAAATAAAACTTTCAGACATTGAATAGAAAATATGTTCAAATATAAATTTGAGGTATCTCGATATATTCATTAATCATTATATGTAGAAAAACATATAAAAGCCGTAAATAAATCTTAAATAACAAACATAAAACAAATATGTAAAAAATTTAGAAGGCGAATCTATAAAAGAGTAAATTACACGAATAGCCCCTATGGTCTAGAGTAATTTGTGCGTTTGGTCTTTAATTTATTTTTTTAACTCGAAAGGCCCATACTGTTTATTACTTAAAAAAGATTATGTTGAACACACTTCCAGTCCCCCCCCCCCCCCCCCCCCCCTCTCTTTTCCCAATTTAGTTAAGATAGGGACTAAACGTGTAACAAAAACAAATAGTAGAGACCAAACATATAACAAAAACAAACAACAGGGGCCTTCCAAATTAAAAAAATAAGTTGAAGACCAAGCACGCAAATTACCCCAAACCATAGGGACCATTCATATAATTTACTCTTTATAAAAACGAATTCGGAAAAATAGGAATTTATAAGAAAAACATGTAAAAACAAAGTTATAAAAAATATTTGGCGAGTTTGTAAATAAAAAAGTTGAAACCAATTTCGTCACAAAATTTAAAACTTAAGCCAAAATTATAAAAAGAAAAAGTTGAATAACCTATAAACCTGTTATAATGGGGTTACGATTACTGAGTTGGAACAACTTTCAAACTCTCAAGGGAATAAAATGTCTAAAATGGTTACGGTACTACTAAATTAACACCATTTAGACATCTCATACACACCTTTTATCAAAATTCAACCTATAATGAAGTAGTTATAACAAGCTTTTTTGAACACGATAATTTATGCTTTGTAGAGTTTTACGCTACAATATTTTAAAACACAAATTGTTATATATAGAGAAAAATTTATTATTTGCGAATCAGCACCCATAAGAATATTTCAAAAACTAAGGTGCTGTTTGTTTTTTGGAAAAAACCTCTTCAAACCTCTTACTGCTGCGCGGCGCAGCACACGTGCAACACTTTTCATCTCGCAGTTGTTTGTTTTTTAGAAGTCTTCTGAATCAAAAACCTCTGCGCAGGCTCTATTTGGCGCAGCACTTGTACTGCCTCTTCTAACCTCTTCCAACATCTTCTTCTTCTTTTTTTATTGCTGAAATTTTGATTATATGTTATTAAAATTTTATTTCACATTTTTTCTGTTTTTTTTCGTTTATTCTTATTGAATTTATTTTTCATTTTTTTATATTCAATAATGATAATTTCTTGATGAAATATCATTATTTTTTACTAAAATATCTTTATTTTTAGTTGAAATATCATTCTTTTTTACTGAAATATCATTAATTTTTACCGAAATGTTATACATTATTAAATTTTACGTATTAAAAAGCTATTTTCGGTTTATAAAATTAGTTTATTTTAATTTTTTAATATCTGCAGCAGTATGCAGATGTTAAAAAAACAAACACACTTCTTATTATACTCTGCAGCCGTTTGGCTTTAACCCAAAGGATAATATATAATGTTTTTTCTATCCATCAATTTTTGTAACAAGTAATTTTGTGTGTCAGGTTAGCTTGTCTATATATAAGTTATGTTTTGTTTTTTAAACTGTATAAACTGTCTCAATGAAATTAAATGATTGTTCTATTTTTTAATTCCAAAAACACAAATTTCATAATATTCAACAGTTTCAACGTAAAAGAAGTTGAAAAAAAAACCCCAAATAACCCCCCCCCCCCACAAATAGCAAATATGTAAATAGTTAGTGTCTTAACACATTAAGTCATATATATTTTTTTTTGCTTACGCTCTTTAAGTCATTGTCCAGATTAACATTTGTGTATAGTATTCTTGATTAAGTGCTTAATTCATTAAACTCATTAGATTTAATATATATATATATATATATATATATATATATATATATATATATATATATATATATATATATATATAGGTTCAGGTTCATTTGAGACCATTCTAATTTTATGAGACCGTGAGACCAAATCTAAAAATAATTTTAAAATGCAAAAATCCAAAAATTCTTTTTTTAAATATTATTTTCGGAACTTGAATTAACTAAAAAAAATATAAAAAAAAAATAAAAAAAAAATTAAAAAAATTCCGTTTTTTTTTTTTGAAAAATACGTAAAATATTCTAAATAGAATATTACACTGACATATTCTAAAAAAATAATTTTAAAATGCAAAATAAATGGAAAAATCAAAAAATTCTTTTTTTAAATATTATTTTCGGAACTTGAATTAACTAAAAAAAATTAAAAAAAAATTCTATTTTTTTTTAAAAATACGTGAAATATTCTAAATAGAATATTACACTGTATATATTCTAAAAATAATTTTAAAATGCAAAATAAATGGAAAAATCAAAAAATTCTTTTTTTAAATATTATTTTCGGAACATGAATTAACTAAAAAAATAAAAAAAATAAAATAAAAATAAAAAAAAATAAAAAAATACGTTTCACGGTTTCACAAAATATAGGTGGTCTCAAATAAACCTAACCCTATATATATATATATATATATATATATATATATATATATATATATATATATATATATATATATATATATATATATATATATATATATATATATATATATATATATACATGCGTCATGAAAGCCTTGTGGTTGATGTGAAATTATGTAAGAAATTTCAATGTTCAAAACCTAACTGCAAGCTAGTGTTTCACAATTTACCCTCTATGGCGTCCAAATGGTACTATTTCCCATTTTATAAAAGAAACCATTATACTAATAATATGACCTTTACATAATTATAATCACTTTGATCAAATACAAATTATTTATCGCTCTAATCAAATAACAAGTTAAAAACATCACAACATATACCTGACAGGAATAAGCAAACTCCCTACTTCATATATTTTCTTATTCAAGAAATAGAGAAAAATGTTGAAAACATTTTGGGTTGCTGATTTCAGAAATAATTTCTAATGATGATGTTAATTACAAAAGAAATAGTAATTTTAATTTTCAGCCAAGAAAACAGTGTTAACTTCGTTGATGTATAAATACTTCATTTGCTCAAAGCAACAAAGATTTCTTTGCCATAAGTATTCTTGGGGTAAAATCTTTGTTTATATAATGCATTTCACGTTTCATTTCAATTTTTTAAACAGTTGCAATGTGGTTGTATAACTCATATAAGTTGCATAAATTGGTAAAAAAAAAAAAAAAAAAATTAAGGAAATATTGAAGCATGTAGATATTATCTCTTGGACTTTGGTGATTTGAACACATTTTGCTGGTAGTATTTGAGTTGTGCTATGCTTTCTTTGATGTCACCCATGGCCCTATGCTTCTTCTCCTTTCGAAAACCCTTCTTAACTACAACCAAAAAGTAATCAAAATCAAAGGTACAACTTGAAAACTTAACAATTGATTAAATCTCATGCCAATAAAACTGTATCAAGAGTGTAGACAAAGATTTAGAGTATAATTTTTTAATCAATATTCAATAAGAGCAGATATCATTAGCTATTATGATGAAATGTCACCTTGTGGAAACCAACAACGACATAAAGCCTTGATGCTGCTGACATCCACAATAACATGAGAGAAAAGATCAGCCAAATCAGGCATATACTTCTGCAATAAAAAAACAACAATTCGAAACATAAATTTTATAATGTGTTGTGTAAGGCCTTGTGGCTGGTGTCAATGGGACAAAAATTACAATTTGGGACCAACTTTTTTATTTTATTTTTAATACCTTCAAGAACATAAAATCAACATAAACTGAATTTCCTGCAAGCAGGGGAGTATATGCACTGACATGTCTCTTTACAAAATCTATAACCTACACCAATACAAACATCATAATCCTAAATTAGATTAATATATGCATTGTAAAGGCAAAAAGAGAAAGTTAACTTTGACTTTGAGATCACCTGCTTTTCAGCTTCTTTTTCACTGATTCTACTTTGTATCACCTGCTCAGTTAACCCTATTACAAATTGACATGTTATTGTTAAGCCTAAATAGTTTTTGGTTACTTAAACAGAAACACATTTTATTGAAGAAATAGAAAGCAGGAGGTAGAGGCTACTTACCACTAGCTGCATGATGATCTTGGCACCATTCTCCCATATTATCCAGACAATCTTTTGTTTGATGAATGACCAATTCAGGACCCTAAAAGAAACAACACAAACCATATTCAGAAAAAAAAAAAGGACAATGGCTGAAATTATAAAAAGGAAAGACAGACTAGCAACTAACTTCTATGAGCTTCTTCAATTTCCCATCTGTAATCACACAAGCAATCTCCAATATTCTATCTACTTCGACATTCAAGCCTGTAAATGTAAATTACCTCCATTTTTAATTCTTTACTATAAAAATCTAAACCAAAAGTAAATTCCCACCAGTCATTTCTAAGTCAATCCATACGAGGGGCAACTTGTAGTGTTCTTTTAACATGTCAAACCTTTGATCATTTCCTTCAATCACGTCCTCAACACTGTCATTCTCTTCCTTTGATTTCCCTGTATCAACAATTAATTTCAAAAATAAATACTCAGGGTTGTAAGAAGCAGTGATAACACGCATAGATCTTCAGCAAACAGTTCAAACATGTACCATTGGTTTTCTCTGTGCTATTAGTGGCACTTGCCATGTGTTGATCATCATCCTTGACGTCTAATTCTAGCAAAGAAGACGCATTTGGGAGATCGCTCATATCTGACTAAATACTTGTTCAGATCCTGTGACAACTGGCAACAGAAGGATTGAATTGCCTGCAATGTGCAAATCATATTGATTTCAGAAACGCTAAAGTCAACTGCAAACGTAGCATCAACTGAGACCTAACTAAATCAGAGACGACGACATGAAACTGAGATTGTTTTCTGGAGTTTTGGAACTTAGATTGTGTTGGAAAAACTTATGCTTTTAATCGAGTTCAATATGGTTATCAAAATCGTATATCATTATACTTTCTGAAATTCGAAGTTAACAACAATCCAACGGCACTCAGATGGCAGAATTGAATTCTAATTTTGGGAGTAATGATTACTTTGTCTTTTAAGATTTATCACCGTCGAATGAACTCAAAGCCTTTACCAGGTAGTTGTCATCAATATGAAACAATAATAATAGCCATCATAATAACAAATATGCAGTAAACTCAAACTTAATCATCGAGCATAAGTACGTCTAGGGTTTTGTTTATCCTCCAAAACAAAACCCAATGAGTAGTTTCAATGCATCTGTGGACACTAGATACGCAGAGAGGAAAAGAGTTACCTTCAGACAAGAATCGGGAGGGAAATTAAGACAGAAGATGATCTTTGTTGCAAGTTCACATTGAGGATTTACCTAATTTACTGCAACATTAGTCGAATCATATTCAAACGAGAGGATTTATCTAATCATAATAATTATCTTTTTAAAGATTCTTTTATAAAATAACTAAAAATAGGAAAATCTTTTTTTTTTTTTTTTTATCATTTTTATTACTAATTCATTCAATTTCTCAAAATGATTCCCAAATATTATTTTGTGGTTAGTTTGAATTTTTTTTTTTCAAATATCATTTTGTGTGGTTAGTTTGAATTTTTTTCCACAATTATTTTATTAGTTTTTCTATTTTCTTAAATTATATATAATATTTTTATATAATTATAATAAATATAGTAATAAATAGATATCAATTTCATTAATAAACTTACTTTTTAATTTCAAAATTCCTAAAATTAAAACTCATTTTTCTTTATTTAAATTATTTGTTTAAATTTAAAAGATAAAAAATATTTCCATTATAATAATTCATTATTTTTTTTTTCTTACAAATTCAAAGTTCTCAAATATTTTGACTTTTATATTTAACTTTTTATTTAAATTAACACATGTAATACATAAATTTTTTATTTAAATTAACCTATTTAATATATGAGTCTCACAACTAATTATCATAATAAATACTAATAACCTGATTTTTATAGGTTATCATAATAATTATCGTTTTAAAGATTCTTTTATATAATAACTAAATCAAAAAAATTATCATATAATAACCATAAATTATCATAATAACCATAATTTTTATAGGTGACTAGGCTTTTTGTAATTCACATATATATCCAGATAATAGTCTACAACTATTATTAAGTTTGTATGCAAAATTTTTGAAGTTTTCATAATTTTCATCGAATAACCTACTTTAGAGTTACAAATTGTGACATTTTAATATCCAAATTGAGAGTGTGATGTATAATAGACAACCTTTCTATAAAAACACACTTAAATTATTTTAGTTCAAATGGAATTCGTATGCGAAATTGATGAAGGATCAAAGTTTGGGTCTTCTTTTTCATATTTTCAACCAAGTACCCTACTTTAGAGTTAAAATTTCTAACATTAAAATTTAAAGTGCAAGATATGTGTGGAAGGCCTTGTTAGAAAAAAATCAACTTAAACGGAGTTTGTATAAAAAAACTATAAATGTTCGAAGTTGATAAAAAACAATTTTCATAGGTGGCTTTACCTGCGAAAAATCATGGTTATTTTTTATATTTTTGAATGTTTTTTTTTTATATCTTTTATGGAAAACACTTGGAAAAAATTATGTCTATTATTGTCATTTTTTCTATAATAAATAAAAATCTAACCAATTTTTAGTGACCTAAAAGTTTGGAAACCAACAAAAATATTTTCACTAAAAGATACATTATGGACTGACATTTCAAATTCGAAAAGAGAAAACTTTGGGATTTAAATAATAAATTTGATATCGATGAATAATTTTGAAATTTCAAGAAAATACTTCATTTTTTTATTAAATTCTAACAATTAAAAAAACACAACAATTTGAAAAAATATATGATACAAATACTTAAAATCAAACATTTGATTGGAAAACGACGGTTTTAAACATTTCGAAATGGAAATCTCGGACGTGAGTAAAGATAGTTGTTTGAAAATATTTTGTGCAAATGTGAGAAAAAAAAATACAACTTATATATTTTTAGTCAATCAAAATCAAATGTCAATAACAAATCCGAAACGATTAATTTAGAACAATTGGTCTGTCATTTTTTAATTATTAATACTATTAACGACTACGAGTGAATAACCGTCGTCAAAAGCTCAGCCCTACGAGTTTCTCAAGATTAGATCACAACCGCATAAACTCCCTAATTTACAGTTATTAAGACAGTTCTTCTCACCTCAGAGCAATCAGTTTCTCATACCTCTCACGTTTCCCCATTCCCTACCCTTTTAGGTGTCATTCGTTAACTGTGGATAGTTCTCCATTGTGTTTTGTCTTCTTCAGCTACATTCTCCCACGATTGCATGATTACGTGCAAATGTATTTTTGTCGAGGAGTATAAGGGCTCTCCCACCCCCTCGATTTCCACATGATCCCCCTTATCTTCCCTTGTTCTCTCGGAGCTTTCTACATATAAATAGAGTCAGGGTTACTGAGGGAGATTCATGATTCTTTACAAGTTGATTTGAGGTGTTTTATTTTTCGCTAAGTTTTTTCCCCATATTCTCCTTCACAACTTCTATCTAGGTTCGTTTCTCTATAATTTCATATGTATGGCAGGTTTATGGGGCAAATTAATGTTCATTTGGGTTTTGCGAAACAGGGAAGTAGGAAAACGAGAAAAACGAGAGCATAGTAGGGGTGATCTTTTGTCGCCCTTTCCTTTAACATTTGCCCATTTTCACCTTCTAAGATTCTCGTACCATTTATCTTTCTTCTCTCACACGCATGACATCACCGTTCCACGAGTAGTTATATTTAATGGTGTCTAAGCAACAACTATCTGCAATTAAAGTATGCAATTTCACTATATTATGCATCTATTTAACTATTTAGTTCGTTTCCCATTGATTTGAGTGGTGTTTATGTCGTTTTAGTGTGCAGAAGTGCTTATGGTTGGTGATGGTGGTATCGGATGCGAGCTTCTCAAAACCCTCTATCAAGTTTTCAAGACATTCACAACGTAAGTCAATTATGCGTCTTTTTAATTATTATATTATTTAAAAAGTGATTATTTATTAACGTGTAGTAATGGTTTGGGTTTGAGGTTTTAGGGTTTGGTTTTTTAGTTGATTTTTGGTAAATTAGATAAAATGGTCACTAGTATTAAATACCTCAACCAAAATATATATATTAGTTACATCCTTCATAGTTTCATTCACATAAAAACATCATTTTTTTGAAATCATCTTGATCATATGTGTCAAAAAATTCTCATAAAAAGTACCTGTGGTACTTTTTGACAACCGTATGGACTATTTGTGTAATTTTGTTATATTTTAATGTGATTATGGCTGAGCCGACCTTGCCAGCAAGCCGAACTTTTTATAGCAAACCTTGGTATTCATAAGGGTTTTGTAAAGTTGTAGAAGGGGGGCGGTATCATCGTACTCCTTCCATTCACTGAAAACACACATACTCTCTTGCAACATCAATGGCCGCAATCACCTTATAGAGCAGAAAAAGCAGTTTCTACGAACCACTCTACTGCTCATCAGTACTCAAATCTAATCGAAATCCATTCAAAATCAACGTTGATACCAATGGCAGCTTTTATTCCTCAGCCACCCGCAACAGCTTCACCGGCGGAAGCTATTAAGCCAGAGAAAGTTGATTACATGGACCTGCCATGCCCTATTCCTTACGAGGAAATTCACCGCGAGGCTATGAGTTAGCATCTAAATGATCTTCAGCTTTACTCATTTATTCGTTTTGTTTTTTAATAGATTGTTAATTGTTTTGGTTATTGATTAAATCTGCGATGGTGTGATATCGTTGTGTATATGTGAGTCTGGAGAATTGTTAAACCCTAATTCTAAACCCTAGCTAGACCACATCAGGCATATCTTACTTTGAAGACTGGAAATAGTTAACTTGTTAAAAAAGTATCTTTTATCGATGCGTTATCTATAAATTTGGAGCTAATATGGCGTGATCTACCAGTTTAGCATTAATTCCATCCATCCAATTTTTACTTTCAAGAGAAATTTTTTAAAGGATACTAGATTCATTAAATGCACAAAATGCAAGTGAACGGCCTTGGAAAAAAGTTTGGTTATCATAATCAAACTTCAAAGTTATTCATCTGTGGTAAATTAATGTGGGGCTTAGATGTCATAAGTTCCAAATACCCTTAAAAAGATTTGACAATGTAGAAATAACCACTTGTAAATATATATGTCTTATGTGATTGGGTTTAAAGATAAGAAATGACCAATTGCATGTCATGTTATCTCATATGTGATGATATTAAAAATGAAGTGATGATCAATTGGGTATATATGCCATATATGATTTGTCGACTCCCTTAATCTCTTATCTCTAACACCCCGTTCCCGAGTTGTAACAGAGAAAAGAAAGTAAGGAGAGAAAAGAAGAGAAGAGAAAGGAAAAGAAATTTGTGTTTTGTGTTCCCGAGTTGGAGAGAAATGGAAGCAAAGTTAAACATTTTGTTCTTTCTCTCCAAATCCTTCCAAATCGGAAGGAAAGTTAGAAGGGAAAGTGATCCCTCCATTTCCTTCCACTTCCCTCCTTTAATGAAACTCAGGAACATCAATTTCTCTTACTTCCACCCATTTCCTTTCTTTTCTCTCTTTAAATTGAACTCGGGAGCGGGGTGTAATTGTCTTGTTTCTTGTTGACACAAGGAACATTAACCCTTTATTTTCTTATCTGCTTTGTGGGCATTGTGATGTTTCTCATCAATCATATGTTTATTATTCCTTATATTTAACACACTTACTCCTATGCAGTGTCATTAAAGCCGGAACTTTTTGAGGGTATGCGTGTCGACTTTACCAAGGGTCTGAATCAGAGATTTTCACTAAGTCACAGGTAGCCAGCTACACTTTTAACTTATTTTGACTTGGTATGGGTTAATCTGCTTCTGATTTGATGAGTTTGCTGTTTTAATTTACAGTATTGTTATGGGGCCTACAGAACTTCCTTCTCAATCTGCTGATATAATTAAAATCCCTACTGCAAACTATGAGTTTGGGGCTAACTTTATCGATCCAAAGGTAAGTCACATACCATTTATCACCATTATAATCACTCTTTTTTTTCACCTGTTGATCAGACAAAATTATCAATCTCACTTTGATGGTGTTGTTTGGTGTTTGAAAGTTGATGCTCTTTGGAAGGATCTTGACTGATGGGCGACTAAGTGCCCGAGTGAAGTGTGATTTGTCTGAAAATCTTACTATGAAAGCTAATGCTCAGGTATATATAATTATATATGCATACCATGTATTTTGCTGATTATTAAATCTTTTAAAGTATGTTGTTAATTCAATTTTGGTTTTATATCAGCTTACAAATGAGCCTCACATGTCACATGGAATGTTCAACTTCGACTATAAGGTACATTATTCATCTTGTTTGGCTCTTTATGGTTATGATATCTAGAAATTTTCTAATTTATGTTCTTGAATGACATTGTACCTTCAAAATTCAAATACACTTTAATTTGTTTTGATGGAAATGTCCATTTTTGTTATGGCGAATTGTTTTTTCTTGATGCAGGGTAGTGATTACAGGACACAGTTCCAACTAGGAAATGGTGGCCTCCTTGGAGCTAGTTATATCCAGGTAAAAGATCACTCATCTATTATATATATATATATATATATATATATATATATATATATATATATATATATATATGTCAGCATTTTCTCATGGGTAATATTCTGCTTGCAGAGTGTGACCCCTCACCTGTCTTTAGGTGGGGAAGTGTTCTGGGCTGGTCAGCATCGCAAATCTGGTCTTGGCTATGCTGCAAGATACAACACGGACAAAATGGTAATTTTGCTCTCACTTACATATATATATATATATATATATATATATATATATATATATATATTTGTCTTTTAGATATAAATAAATATAAATATATAATGAAATTAATTCCTTAATTTGTTGCAGGTTGCCTCTGGACAAATAGCCAGCACTGGAATGGTTGCTCTTAGCTATGTTCAGAAAGTGTCTGAAAAGGTAACCAGCTCAAATTTCTCAATAATTATGTTATGAGATTTAATTCAAAATCATCAATAATCACTTGTGATTTTTATTTTGGTCTCATTTTGCATAGGTTTCTCTAGCAACTGATATGATGTACAATTACATGTCAAGAGATGTCACTGCCAGCTTTGGCTATGACTATATACTTCGTCAGGTAATTCAAACAAATCTTTCAATTTTAATCCTAAATAAAATTAAAATTGGTTGTTGCTATTTTATTTTTGTTATTTGTATTTATTATTTAGTTTTGGTTTGGTATCGACAGTGTCGTCTTAGAGGAAAGATCGACTCAAATGGGTGTGCATCTGCTTTTCTTGAAGAAAGGTTGAATATGGGTCTGAATTTCATTCTATCAGCCGAGGTGATTATTAATGAAATGTCTTGAATACCCTTTACAGTATCATATTTAACACATGAAATTAATGTGTTTGTGAATTCTGTTACGCAGCTAGACCACAGGAAGAAAGACTACAAGTTTGGGTTTGGGTTGACAGTTGGAGAATAGATGAAGAGGCCAGCCAGGTGGGAAAAAGTAAACCTAGGAGGATTTTAAACTTATTTTTGAGTGAGAAACAAAAACTTGTCATACATCGTAATGGTATGATTTTTTTTTTTTTTAAAAAAAAAAAACATGATCAAAGAGTCAAGTTTTGTACTTGGTTTTTGAGCAAGCATTATTTGCTATGCAATTGCAGCAGCTGCATAGACAGTTTTTTTTAGAGCATAATCCATACTTGTCAAAATTTGCAGCTTTTAATATATAATTCATTCGACTTCCTATTTGAAGCTGTAGTAGAATTGGCAATATATATAATCCCTTTGGCATTGTTATCGGATTGTTGCTACACCTTTAGGATATGCTTTTAGATGAGACCAGCATTTTCAGACAATAAAGTCCAACAAATATGTCGGAACTTACAAAACTAAATGACTGATTTATCTCTGTTATTTTTGAATATCGGTTTCAAAATTTTCAAAATATTTTAGTTTTTTGGTGCGAAGACTTTCAAAAACAGGTTACTTACTCTGAAAACGAATTGATTTTCTTTTTCATAATGGAAATGTGTTTTGTTTTTAAATTCTTCATATTTAATAAACAATTACAAATACTTTCTCGTTTTCGTTTTGGTTCCATTCTTTAATTTGGTGCCCTGCACTTCTAACCAATTATTTCAATCATCATCAAAATAAATTATAAATGGTTTCATCGTTTTGCAATGAGTTGACATTTGAAAAGGACGCACACGTTGAATTTAGGTACAATAGATGTGACTAAAAATAAGACAAAAATCACAATTTATAATAATATTTAATTACTAGGTGAATGTCTATAGTTGAAGTTTTTATAAATATATGATTTTTTTAAATATAATAATAACGTTTTTGTTAAACTTATATAATAATTAATTTGTATATACTAAATAGATATAATATATTGATTATTTTGAATCATATGATAATGTATACATTTATTATAACTTAATCTCAATCGTTTGATTGATTTCTATCCGTGATTTACACATTAATAAAATTAAATATAATATATGATTGATGCTATTTATAGTTATTTTTATTGTTAATTAATTTTTTAAAATTTATTTGTTTAATGTTTTAATTTCTATCATTATAATTATTTAAAACATCAAATATTGTTTTTTTATTTTAAAGCTAACAATATAATTATTTATATAAAGTTGTTTTTAACTATTGTTATTCTAAGTTATTCTAAGCTACTTATTTGAAAACTTTTAATGATTATAAAAATATATTCAAGAAATATTTTAGTTAAATTGAGATTACAATTTAGTTTTTGCTTTTATCACTACAATTTATCACTTTTAACTATTTACAAAATATTCTTTACTTTTTTTAAATGCAACTGAAATTTATATTTAAGTTGACATTATAATGCGCAGAAACACTTATATAGCTGAAGTTTATATATATATATATATATATATAGCTGAAGTTGACATTATAATGCGCAGAAACAGTAACATTGTTGTTAAATTTGATATAATAATTCGTATATTAATTTGATATAATATATTGATTATTTTGAATTATATGATAATATATACATCTATTATAGCGTTATAATCTCAATCGTTTGAATGACTACTACTTGCGAGTTACACATCAATAAAATTAAATATTATATATGGTTTAATAATATTTATAGTTGTTATTTTTAACTAATTTTTTAAAATTTATTTACTTAATGTTTTAATTTCTATCATTATAATTATTTAAAACATCAAATATTATTTTTTGATTTTAAAGGTAACAATATAATCATTTATATAGAGTTATTTTTAAATATTGTTATTATAAGTTATTTTAAGCTACTTATTTGAAAATTTTTAACGATTATATAAATATATTTAGGAAATATTTTAGTTAAACTGATATTAGAATTTGGTTTTTGCATTTATCACTATAATTTATCACGTTTAACTATTTACAAAATATTATTTGGTTTTTTTAGTGGAACTGAAATTTATATTTAAGTTGACACTGTAATGTTATATTTAAATTAACAATTTAAGTATTTTGTTTAAACTGTTCAAAAAAAGTAGCTTTAAACTGATAATGGTTTACATGCAACAACATTTTAAATCTAATAAATTAAGTATAATATGTTAAAATTTAAATAAATAACTTTATAAATCGAAGTAAATATATTATTTTAAAATTGAAATTTAGTCTATTTATGATTACACTTTAGGTTTGATATTTATTTAACCTTATTAACCAACTTACAATCATTATTAGAAAGACACTACAATTTATCAATTTTAACTATTTATAAAATAATCTTTGGGTTGTTTAATTAAATAAAATTTATATTTAAGTTGAGCCTATAATGTTATATTTTAATTAATAATTTAAGTATTTTATACAAATTATTCAAAAAATTTACCTTTAAAATAATAATGGTTTACATCCAACAATATATTAAAACTAATAAATTAAGTATGATATGTTAAAAGTTAAAAAACATAATTTTATAAGAAGAATTAAAGATATTATCTTAATATTGAAATTTAGTTTATATATGATTACCCTTTAGATTTGATATTTATTTAACCTAATTACCAAATTATAATTATTATTATAAAGAAATTGAAAAGTCATGGGAGTTTCAAATGAATGTGGTGAAAGGAAAAAAGAATAAGGGTTTCAAATGCATGAGATTAAAAAAAAAATGCTAGCTTTATAAGTATGTATGATGAGTTCCTTATGGAACAGTAAATTGTTAATATTAGATTTTTTTTTTAAATCTGTTCCGCTTTCCCACCGCCTAAGGAAACCAATAACAATACCCTCGTTGTCACCGACTAAACATCCCCACCGCCTCTGATCTTGATTTCAACATATTTTCCATCGCACTTTCTTATACGTTCCTCCACCCCTTCTTACTTTTTTCCTGATTCTCTAGCTAAAAATGTTCAAAGTGTTCAGCTTTTTCCATTGCTTTTCTAGGTTTCTAGATCGTTCTTATATCAAAGTCGAGTCGGGTGGATTTCCTTTTTCTCACTGCCTCCGCCGTCAGTATTGGGGATAAATGACCAGAAATTTCACTCACTCAATAGTTGGAGCAACGAAAGTTGGCATCGTCACCGAACCAGAAGTACCCTATTTGTATGTTTTTAACATTTAGTCGGTGCTTTTATTCTTTGAAGACGAAATTGGTTGTTGATGGATTTGGGAAATTAGGGGAAGTGGCTGACGATGGTTGGTTGCTACCACCGCCTGTTTCACGTACTCTATAAACCCACCTTATGTTTTCACCCGCGATTATAAATCCTATACACTACCAATCACGATTTTCTCCATCCCTTGCTGCTCCTCCATAAATGTTCTAGTGATATTGTGTTTGGAGGTCAAAGTTAGAGAAAGACGACATGAACAAGACGAAGAAGATGAGGTCAGTAAATCACACCTATGAGTAATACATCATTGTTACAAGATTACACATGATTTTGACCTTTCTGGGATTGATTTTGTAAGTCTCCACACTAGATGATTTACTATTTTAAAATTGTTTTTGGGTACTCCAGGTTTGCAATGTATTTTTGGCACCGGTTATTGGGACTTTGTATTTGACAGCAATTGAGGATCCTAAGTACAAAGAGAACACGATTGAATGCAAGTGGTATTAATTTTTACCCTAAATTTGATTTCCCGTTATAACTTCTGAGTTTCTCCTCTGTGGCCCTTTCTAATATAATAGACAATTCATTTGTTTTGAATTCTCCAGACGCAGCAACACCTATGATGCAAGGAATAATAGACTTACATTGCACACCAAGTCCTTGATGAAATGTTTGAATCAACTAATTTACATATCGATAATTGGTAATTCAACATCATTACTAATTTACTATCTCATTACCATTTCTTATGTTGTTCATGAAGTGGATATTTATGGTGACATATTTGAAATTAAAACATTTCATTTTAAATTTTCCACTGTTGAAATGGCTTATGAGACTTAGAATGGTGTAACATGCGGTACATGATTCACTTATTGAGGAAAAATGATGAAAATTTCAAATACTATGAAGTTGATGCATTCAGTACCTAACCTAGGTAAATTACCTCTATATATAGATTTCATTTGATTTTCATTTGTGTTTGTACTTAGTGTTATAATTTACTACCATTTTAATAAAGCAATATAAGACCAAATTAATTAATTTGAAAATGATAAAACTTTCAGATATGTCGAGAGAAGAGAGGGAGGGTTATTAGTGATTAGAGGTGCGCAAAGAATCAGAAATGGAGGGGATTGAATATATGGGTTCTACTAAAAGAAAAGGGTAAAGGAATAAAAGTGTGACATCCCCATTTTTCTCGGCTAGAAAATACCGTTTTAGTTTATGCTTTTAAAATAAAATCAAAGTAATTTTCTAAAAGATGCTGCGAAATTTGTTCCTAAAACAAAATATAATAAAATTTTATCAAAACATTTCTTAATGAAATATATTTCATTATATAACAAAACATCGGGATGTCATGTTCCGATACAGACCAAAAACATAAACAATAGATTATAAGCCTTACAACAGTTAGTTACAACTACTGTCTTATAATTCAAAAATCCCTCTTCAACCTCCAAACTATGCTCTGGGTTCACTACTTGTAATAAAAAAAAAAGTTGAATGAGTCTGGCTTGAGAGCCTGGTGAGCATATAGGGTTTTCAACCCACAAATAATAAATTTATTAATTTTCATCAACCAAAAATAAATTTATTAATTTTATCAAACAACAATAACCCTGATTACCCGTTTCCGTTATCTTCACTTTACGTCCCTAAACACTTATCACAAAGGACCTAATTTAAGGATTTTCATCGGGGTGACAACACTGCTTTAAGGGATGCCTCAACAATTTATGTCAAATAAGGCAACCATGTGGGGGATGGAGTATACCATTGAATACTAAGTTCACAAACACCTAGGGGTTGCAAGCCTGCTAGCGTTCCATTGGACTATCTAGAAAAGTCTGTGGTCGTCATCTATACTCTGTTAGATGACTAAAACAACAACAATATCGAGACCTCTCATCATTTTAACACACATCAACTATTTCATCTACCCTTGTTATACCCAACATATTTGTAGATAAAAATACATATACAGTTTAAATCATTTTAAAACCTG